AGAGAGAGAGAGAGAGAGAGAGAGAGAGAGAGAGAGAGAGAGAGAGAGAGAGAGAGAGAGAGAGAGTGTGTGTGTCCTGTGGTGCATGGCCCTGTGTTCCAGGCCATGCACCTTATTTCATTTCTCTGTCCTTACATGACTCGACCTGCACAGAAACAACCACCTCTGTGTTTATGACTTTGTCTACAGGAGTACAAAAAATAATTATAGGTAGGTTTAGAGCAGATTTTTAGCAATAACTATTTATTATCTGTGTGGTGATTATGAAAAAGAATAAACACATGTTGGTTTCTGCATTAAATAGTGTCTGTATTTCTGTCAATTTCAAAATTATCCCTCAAGTTATCAACTTCAGTTTGGAAAAAAAATATTCCCACTACACAGTATAAACCTACCATGCCTACTTGTAAAACACATATTCAGCTTGTTGGGAACGGTTCAGTGAATGTGACATTAGAATCATGACCTTTACATTGTTGCTTTTAGATGGAATATTGTCATGATATTATTCTCAGACCAAAGCAGGGAGGTTAGGACTTTTTTTGAGAGAGAGAGGGTAGGGGGTTTTAATAACTGAAATAAAATTCTAATAAAAATCCATACAATCATAATACAAAAACACATGCATATTGGATTTTTTTGTCATTTAGGCTTTCATTGAAGCCCATTACTCATACAGTACTAATCAATGCAGCTCAGAAGAAGAAAATAACGTCAGAAAACAACAATAAACTGTTACTTGTTTTAAAAGGTGTTGAGTTGAACAAAGTCACCATAGCACAAATTTGAATACAGAGGAAGTCTAATCATATCTGAAAGTAAACAAAACTGATGAAGACATTAATTTATAATGTTTTTTCTTAATGAGAGCTAATCTTAGCAATAGCTTCATGCAGTGCCTGGAACTAGCCCACTAAAGCGCAAATCTGCTAATTGCGGACCTAAATATTTTGTTTGCCCTTTAGCGGTCTTACTAATTTTTATAATTCATAAGGAGATTTTCGCTGTCTAAAATTAAAATGCAGTACCACTAATAACTAATTATCTACCAGTCATCTTTATCTTGAACAGCAGAAGGTATGGCTGTCAATGAATCACAACACACATGATCTGTACAACAGCACCCCTCCCAGATAAACTCACTTACTGAGAAGGTATACATACTTGCAGACTGTTGCTTTCGGTCAGGGTTCTGTTTTCCCACAATGCTTTTTGTCTGCTTATGTAGCAGAAAGGCAATAGCAAAAACAGTTAACGTTTGTAATCCATACTAAAATTTTGTATGTATTGATTTATTTTACTTTAAAATCTGAGCTCCTTTTTTTACAAAAAAAAAGTTTAAACGCTCCAGCTCAATACATAACATAATTGGTCGAAGCAATCGGCCAACGGGGTTAGAGACGCAGAAATGATTTAAAGATGTTATGCTGATGAAGACTGACATCTAGTAGTCAACTGGAGCAACTACATAGAAAACTTTAAAAGGGGCAATAGCATGTAAAATCAACTTTTTTGAGTTTTTTATCACGTTATAATGTTATACTCTCATAAAAAACGTGCCCAAAGCCTTGCTGTGACTCATTCATGTGTGTTTGAGAAATCTTGCAGCGTTTTTAGGAAGCCATGCTGAGGAGCAAAACGACAGGTGGGGACCAGAAACGATTTTTGGTACCAGAAACGCCTCTGGGACGTGTCTTTAAGCTGAACTTCCTCATGGCAGAGCACACCCACTCCTCCCCCCTTCCCTACACACCCCGCCCATGACTCCTGCAGGCTCTCGGGTCAAAGTGAAAGTGAAACCCAGCTGCTGAGCTCTCAACATTAGTTTTCACTCAGTGAAGCTCTTTTCAGATTAAAAATACCTTTGAGGAAATGTATTTTCAGATGCCAAGTAAACTGCATCATAGCACACGCACCGCACCCAAATGGACGAGACAGAAGCGAAGGTGGTTCTTAAAGAGACAGAGGCCAATTTCAAGGCATTTAGAAGAGTAAGTGATGAGAAGATAAGTTTATTTTCTATTTAAACATAAAAAAACAGCATTTTAATAACAGCTAAATGTGTCATAGATACTTTATTATGGTATAGTATTTAAATATATGCCTGAGAAACATAATATAGGCCCTTTAAAATCCAAGCTCTTATTTTGAAGTGAAGATAGTTTCCTGTACTCTGTGTTTTCGTTTCTCATCAATAATGAAATCCGTCATGTACCCAGAATGCATCGCTTCAGTTTTCCAATAAACAGTTTTAAAATTACTTTATTGATGCTTCTTTAATGAAAAATCTACAACAAACAAAAGAAAAAGGCAAAGAAGCAGCCGAACTAGCAATCCTCAACAACTTTTTTTTGTATTTTCCAGACACGTACTTCAGTTCTATACCACAATCATTCTTACAATACGGTGCTGTGTACATCAAAAATAAATTTGACTTTGCATCATAGTTTATTTAAATGCCTCGAACCTGCAGGACATCTCCACAACTTGGGGGAGGGGTGCTCTGTGGGGCGGGAGCTCAACTGCAGACTGAGCTCCAGGGAGGAGCTTTGTGCCAATAGGCAGTGCTTTGTACTAGCAAGTATTTAGGCAGCTCCACATGGCTACAGGAGATTCCAGGATTACAGGAATGAATCAACGCAATACTGTAGGCTTATTTTTATGAGGGAATAACATGATATTAAGTTCAAAAACATTGATTTTGTATAATGCATAAACATATAAATATATAGTATACGTATGTTTCTAATTAATGCGGTTACACCAGGTGTCTCGTGTAAATTTGGTGGATTTCTCACTGAACACTTAAATTGAGAAAATAACATAGGAGCAAGAAAACTTTAGCACACTTGGTAAATATTTTTGTAAATCTATTAAAGCAGATTACAGGACATTGTACTGTAAGTTTTGTTTTAGTTTGATGTTTTTAACAGTGTTTGTAGAGCTGTTGGATCCTCTGTGGTTCACTTCAGTTATAATGGGCTGTCAGCCACAGAACAACAGTACTGCTGCATTATTTTTCACCTGATTAAACAAAGAACTAACATTACCTTCACAGTGAAGCTGTAAAACAGCTCACGACTCAGCTGTGGAGGAATTTTACTGAATAAAACCTTCAGTCTTTGCTCTGTAGAGTCACAAAGCATCAGCTTTTTTTCCTCTTATATTGCTTCTGTTAGGTAATTAGGATTAATCAGAGATAATTTGACAAAAAAGCCTCTCAAATCACGAGAATGTCAAAATAATAATACAGTTCAGAAGGCAGAATGTATTATCACTATTACAGAAACTTCAGCAGACCTGCTGAGATCCTGGGAGGACTGACAGCCCTCTGTGTGGCGTGGCTGTGTGTGTGTCTGCATACAGCGTGAGTAATTGACATTGTAAAATGCTTTTGGATACAAATTTTACCACCAAATGTGAACAAAGACATCAGAGCTGACCACCTGCTGTCACATCACCCGGAACAAATCAAAAACGTTTTTTCGAAAAAAACAAATGTGAACAGGCCCTAAAGCATTTGACATCTACAAAGTACAACAAAGTAATTTAAGGACTTGCCTGTTTAATTAATCTGATCCTCTGCAGTGTAGGGAGATGAGACGTGAATGTGCGGCAAACAGCTTTGTGTAGAGTAATCAGAGCTTTGAAAAATACTGTGGCAAACCCTTTGTATGGTTATTCAAAATCCCTTATATTAAAAAAATATTATTTTAACACTCATCCCACTGAGAGGCTAGGTTTGAGTGTTTCACATTTTGTATATTTAGTTAGTTAAGTTAATGAGTTATCTCTAACATCTTCCTTGCCACTATTTTAGATTCATCCCTATAGAAAGAGTTCTTCGCTTTTTTTCCTTCATTTTTCTGCTTCTTGAAGAGTTATTAAATATTCATCCATCCGTCCACATTCTTCACTCTCTTCTTCGTACAGGTGGGGCAGCTAGTGTCTCTCTCCATCTGTCAGTGTGCAAGAGACGGGGTTTACCCTAAACAAGTTGCTGGTCCATCACAGGACCCCATTGAAACTAAAGAGACAAACCATTTACACTCTCACTCACACCTAGTGACAGTTTAGAGTTGCCAGTTACATTCA